GTCGGAGGACGGCCGCCAGCATTTTCGCTTCGACCGCGCCAGCGGCCGCCTCGTCGTGGCCGACAGGCTGGACCGGGAGCAGCTGTGCGGCCAGGCCGACACCTGCACGCTCCCCTTCGAGCTGCTGCTGGCCGACCCGCTGCAGTTCTTTCGGGTCGAGGTCACCCTCGACGACATCAATGACCATTCACCCGTTTTCCCCAAGGAACGAGTCACTTTTACAATCCCCGAAAGGGGCGACCCGGGCTCTCGTTTCCCTCTGGAGGGGGCTGTGGACCTTGATATTGGCAGCAACAGTGTACAGGCATACAGCATCACTCCAGAGAATGAGTACTTTAGCGTCTCCTTTGGCACTCGGAGTGACGATGACAAATATGTAGAACTTGTTTTAGAAAAGCCCCTAGACAGAGAGGAACAGGCAGAGATGGATTTCAGTCTGATTGCCGTGGATGGGGGCTCTCCACCCAGGAGTGGGACCACCCAAATTCACATTACAGTTCTGGATGCAAACGACAACTCACCAGTCTTCACACAGGAGGTGTACCTTGCTCGGGTTTTAGAAAACACATCGGAGGGCTCTGTTATTTTGACTGTGTTGGCAACTGATCAGGATGAAGGAATTAACGGAGACATCTCCTATCAATTAAGCCAAGGACTCGACCATAGCGACCCAGCGTTTGAGATTGATCCCTTAACAGGTGAAATCAAACTCAGAAAGCCTCTGGACTTTGAGGCAGAACAGACTCACGAACTCCGTGTGAGGGCCACAGATGGTGGGGGGCTCTCGGCAATCTGCAAAGTATTAGTGGAGGTGTTGGATGTGAATGACAATGCACCCGAGCTGCTGGTCAGTTCCTTCAGCAGTCCCCTCGCTGAGAACTCCGCGCCCGGCACGGTGGTTGCCCTCTTTACTGTCAGGGACCGGGATGCCGGTGCCAACGGCAAGGTGTCCTGTGCCCTCGAGCATCAGCTCTTCTTCTCCCTGCGGCCAGCCTATAAGAATTACTACGAGCTGGTGACTGTGAGGGCGCTGGACCGGGAGGACACGGCTCAGCACATCCTCAGCGTGACAGCAGCAGACGCGGGGTCCCCTCCTCTCACTACCACCCACACCTTCACCGTGGACATCTCGGATGTCAACGACAATGCCCCCGTCTTCAACCAGACATCCTACACCATGTACGTGCGAGAGAACAATGCGCCCTCCGTGCTGGTGGGAGCCGTGAGCGCCGCAGATGCCGACGTGGGGCTGAATGCCAAGGTGACCTATTCCCTGTCAGCAGGGCAAGCGGCGGAGCGGCCTTGGTGCTCGTGCGTGTCTGTGAACTCGGAGAGCGGGCAGGTGTTTGTGCTGAGAGCCCTGGACTACGAGCAGCTG